GCATCACTCACCTTTAAAGCAGTAAATGCTTCTAACATCACTAAATTTCACCTATTCAGTGTAGACCCCAACAGTTGCCGCAGTGGAAAGACAATCTCCTCCCAACTGAGATCAGCTGTTTGTGTTTTACATGAACTCAGATCCATGAGGCGACCTCCCATGACCCCTGACCCCAAAAGGATATGAAATCTCTGCCTATCAGCTCCTCGCAGCTTCCAGCAGTGCGTCGCCTCGCCTCACAGCGTCCAGTGCTCCAATTACAGGAAGCATAAATCTCCAGGAGAGGATATTGTGGGAGGTGGAGGAATCTAAGGGCAAACAGCAGCAGTAGATCCTGGCGTAAAGGCTAATAGGAGCAAGATGCAGAGCAATGCATCCTGGGAAATCTGCCGCTGAGGTTCGGCTGTAAGTCTCCTCATCTTCTTCCTCATGGGCGGGGGGGCGATATGACCTGCAGAGACTCAGAAGGGGCCCAGAGGTGGCTGCAGCTACATGCTAACCTGTTAGCATAATGGCTGCTGATGCTGCGGCTGTCAAACAGGAAGTTTTGTCTTTTTTAGAAAACACTCGCACTCAATCTGAGACATCTAGGAAACTTCCTCCAGTGTTGCTTTAATTAGAGAATTTTCAGACTAACCATTTTCAAAACTGAAGTGAGCCACACACCTTGCTGGTGTTTCTGTAAAACGTTTAGAGACTGATGTGAAAACTCATCATTCAGAAACTGTTAGAAAACATCTGTTCTGATTTTTCAGAGGAAAATGACATCAGTCTTTTCCTGGCGGCCCTGGAGACAGGACAAACTGGACCAGAAGAGGGCGCTGCTGTAGGCCTCTACCTGTCCCAAAATACTCTCAGGCAGCCCAGTCCTGGTGCCCTAACCCAGCTGCAGTCATAGCGGGGGCCCAGCTGCTCTGCAGTTAACAGTAACATAAACAACCCTAAATCCTTAAATCCTGTTTCCAGCTCCTCTCCTGCCCGTGTCTGAGGAGTTTATGAAGAAACAGATGGTTCTGGGTCACTTCTGCATCACAAAACATCAGAGTAATTCGCTCTTTGCAGCTCAAACTCCGCGGATCGGTCCCTGGGCACCGCTTCCAGCAGCACGGAGCTTCGGGATGATTTTAACGACTCTCACCCACAGCTTCAAATTAAAATTGATCCACAGCTGATTAACCGGCTCGTCCTCAGAAATCAATCTGTAGCTGCAGAGTTCAGAGGAAGAATCCAGCTCTCAGCGTTTGACGTACAGTCAATTAAAAACGGAATGACAGAGTGAGCCTAAACGCCGGAGAGCTTGGCAGCTGCAGGAGCATCATTAATAATATTATCGGGGACGTTGGAACATGTGTAGCTGAACAGAGCCGCGGCGGCGGGACTCGTCTCAGTAAAAATACAACCAAATATTCTTTATATCATAAAAGCTCCATGTTTGGATGCAAACGTTTCAATCAAACTTTATTACTAATTTTATTTCCTAAAAAAAAATTTTTTTTAAATACCAGAATCGATTTTTGAACAATAACAATAAAATGTTTGGATGAAATCAGAGTCCAGGTTTTATTTACATCCAAACATAAATCAGTGTTTATGACTGGAGGGGATTCTGGTCTCTGACCCAAAATAGCTGGACTACGGCTAAAGCCTGGAAATCATCTCATGTTGGGTTAGATCCTGCAGCAGCTCCACCCTGAGCTCCACCTGGATGACAGAGCTCCTCACCTCCTCTATGTTCCAACCCAATCTCCCTGTGGAGGTTGATCCAGAATTTTGTTGTCTCCAAATCAGAACTTTCAGCTCCTTCATCACCACGACAGACAGGACCAAAGTCCTCATCGCTGCAGATGAATTCCTGATCCTCCATCCCACCTCCCCCAGGAACAAAAGGTGCCTGATCTCATGCAAATGCTGATTCAAAGTGTTCCCGCAATTTCTGAGTGGGAGGAGTTTGAGTGGGTACGGTGTACTTCCTGGAGCAGACTCACCGGTGGAGCAGGGCCCGTCGTGGACTCTGGAGATCAGCCTCTGCTGTTTGCAGGATGCCTGCCGTCTGTAGCACTCGTTCTGGTAGGTGTCTCCGTTGGAACCGCACACTGGGTTGTAATTTTTGCTGCACTAAAAAACCAAAAGAGTCAGAAAATGAGAAGATGTGAAAACCAATCTCAGCTCCCGTGGCATGATGAAGGTTGGTGATGGGAGGGCGAACACGAGCCCGAACCTCAGGGAACGAAGAAGACAAGTTCCTCTTATGTGATGATGAACGAAAAAACCTGACTTAGAGTTTGACTCTGAGCTCGTCCTGTCCTCTCAGTTACTTAGTTATTCTAGTTATAGTTAGATTTACCCTCAGCACCTTAACACAAGCTGTTTGAACTGATTCTTCATCACTTCAGAAAGTTTGATTGTGTCTAAATATGTTGCATCATTTTACTTTTCATCAGAGATAGTTGGATGTAAGCTGCAGCAGCAGCAAGGACACACCACAGTCAGCAATCCATATTCTATTAACCCTGAGCCCTCAGCCAGCGCTTCCACCTCCAGCGGAACAACAACAAGTCGGATTTAAGCTCCTGAGCAGGAACATCTGATGCCTGCGGTCCGGGCCCAGTCTGGTCCAGAAGAAGGAGTCAGTACCAGACTGAGGAACCGTTTATCTGAACTCCAGCTGGTCTCCGATCAGGGTTAGGGTCCCCCTCAGACGTAATAAACACTTTTAGTAGTTAATCCTCAGGAAATAGAAAGATCCCTGCCAAGCAGCAGCAGAAATGATGTAAAAAGGGGATGGTTGATGTTGTGAGGGTGCACACGTGGCCGGGGGGACGTTTAAAGATAAGACTTTAAAAAGACAATGTGTAGTTTTTACAGTTAATCTCAGGAGATATCCATGGAAATGTTGTTGAAAATGAATGAATCGATGTTCAGTTGTTGAAAAATATTGGCGGCTTCATAACGTTTAACCAAAAAAATCAGGTCCAAAATACACGGGAGTGGGTCTGAGTCTCTGGGCGACGCCATGTTTCCTTCTACAGGTGCCCGTGACGACAGAGCGCCTTTGATTATTTTTAACAGACGGTTACGAAACTTTCGCCATTCATAAACGTTGCAGCTTTACACGTTTACCTCCTCACTGATGTGCTTGCCATCATTTCGCTGGAGGTTGCACTCGCAGGGATTTTTGACCCTAATGGCTGTCCGTCGGTAAGGTCTTACTCAAACACAAAAATACGGCTTGCAATGATTCAGGTATGTACTGCCGCCTATTGCCAGGGACAAAACACACTATCACTTTAACAGCAGTGACAAAGGATGTGTGTGAACCGTGACTGGGAACCAAAGACTCGGATAAATTCACAGGAAACATCAAACAGGGAGAAATTTACCTGGAACTGGCAAACACATTTAAGCTGAGCTCCGTCGTCTCTGCAGACGCCGCCGTATCTGCAGGTGGAGTCATCACAGACCCTCAGGTCGCTCTTCTTCTCCGACAGGTCTACAAACAAACAGAGAACAGGCGGGTCGATGGGGTGAATCACACCTGCAGAACCACCGTTAAAGCCTCTGATCTGAGTCAGGAAGAGCTCAGCAGCACCACAAGACTAAAACAACAGTCATCACTTTAATGACTTCAACCACAAACATCAGATCAAACGCACCTAGAATAAATTTCACTCATTTTACGTCCAAAAGGCCTGACTGTAGAGTTCACTGCACCTTTTTCTCTAAATCTGCACTCAGAGAATCTAAGTTCTGGTTATAAAATCATATTTCTGAGCATAAATCAGCTTTAATGGAGATTTAAATGCGGTTCAGGTCCTGTCTGCTTTTAATTATGAGCTTCTAAACCAAACAGCTCCTGTTTGTTAATCAAAGCTCCTCATCAGAAAACCTCCAACATGAAATCAGTTTTCCTCTAAAGTTGCGGCTGCTGATTGGAAAAGATTTCCTGAATCAGATTTGCCCTTTAAAGTTTAATCAGCTGATAAAACGTGATGGAGATGATCTGAACTGAGACCTGAGGTGAGGTGAAAACGTCAAGCTGCAGGTGGTCGCCGGATCCAGTCGCGTTCCTTTGGATCCTAACAAGCTTCCAGGTTACAGAAAGCTCCGATCATCAGCGTCCTCTGGGAGCGTGTGTCCCACGGATCGGATCAGAGGGACCGTGAAATGTTTGGTGATTACGACACCTAAACCGTCCGGCTGAGCTTTTTAACATGAAATAACCTCCAGATTAAAGTAGGATAAAAGCCCTTCAGCTAAAAAACACAAACAGACACAGATCAGACTCAAAGAGAGGAAAAAGTCCCAAAGGTCTGCAGCTGATTCCGGTTTGGGAATGTGTGTTTTTATGCTTGAGATGGTCTGACTGCAAAAATCCCACAAACTGCCCTTCGTTCTTCAGACGGAGGTCAGAGGAGCTGACGACTCATAGAACCTCTCAGGTCTTTCCTCTGGTTTGATGAACTTGAGTAAAAAACACTTCACTCCTCTGCCACCGTCGCCCACAAACGAAGAGGGACTGGAGATTAGGTTTATGATGCCATGGTTCAAATGTCTTATTTAATCTCTGCAGGAATGACGTCACATTTCCACGATGTTCGTGTTGTATAAAAACACACGACACACAACCCTGGTCACGTCTGTAACAGTAAAGCTTCAGACTCGTTCTGTGCTGGATGTACAAATATCCTAAATAATCTGTGAATAATCAGCATTTTACTTTTAAATCACATAAAATGAATTCATGAAATTCCCTTTTGTTTTATGTTGTTTAAAATAACTCTAAACTCTATCGAGCACAAACAAATCAACCTTTTCCTCTGTTTGGCCATCTGGGCTTCCGTAGAACTTTTCTCTGATAACGACTCTGCTTCGTGTCACGGATCCATCTGCAGGTTTAAACAGTTCCACTGATTCTTTCCCAGCTTTAGGAGGTTTAGTGTTAGTCTAAAGTTAATCTAGAGTGATGTTTTTAATCCCCTAAACAGCTCATTTCTGCCACCTGTTGGTGGAAACTAACAACTGCAGCCAACTTCAAATGGTAATGGGGTATGTAAGGATTTGAGGAACCAGAGAACATTTCTAAAAACCCACAAAAGCATATTGGTGATTAAATAATAATATTAATCAGAATGAAAACAGGTGAAGACTGGTCATGGTGCTCTTATTTTGACAAGTCACACTACCGACTTCCTGGTGTGTTTTTGTCTGGAGAAGAAATATGTGAGGTTTCCAAACTACATATTTACCAAAATAATTAGGATTAGGATTATTTTCATAATTAAGATGCTTAAGTTTGAGATTGTCATCAGGTGGGAATGTCAGAATTCCATGATAGGACACGTGAACACGATTCCAAACACGGTACGATTCACGATGCAACAATTTCTGATGCAGTTTAATCCGTAGATAATCTGTTATACTAGTCCAGCTGTGATCATAAACACCTGTGGGTATCAGGAAGCTTCCAGAAAATTAAAGACTTTGGTTAGGGAACTGTATCGATCCCAGAGCAGATTCACCACCTCATTATTCCCCAAGTGTTCCTATGTCCATCTCAGTCAGAACGGCATCGTGACCTTTCCTGGGAAAACCGCTGAGCGCTGATGAGACATGACGACGTCTCGTTGGGTCAGAATCAGAAGAGCAGCTCAGCTTCTCGTTTCCTCTGCAGATGATGGATGGTTCTGAGTTTTAGATTTAATATAGAGATGTTTTCATGTGAGGTTTGAGGTTTGGCTGAGGACATCGAGCCCAGCTCCTGATCAGAGCTTCTCCTCACAGCTACTCCATCAGGATCAGGACAATGTTCTAGATGGAGCCATGAAGGCAGAACCACAGCAGCTCCATCCTTCAGCCTCCTGCAGGCGGGCAGGTGTGTGTGTGAGTGTGTGTACTTGTCTTTATATGTTTAGGTGGACACATTTTGACATTAACCTGTAACTTCTGGACATTTCCACATTCAATTCCATTCAAGTTTATTTATATTATGCCAAATCAGGACAAGAGTCATCTCAAAGACCTTCATGCAGTAAACATTCCAGTACAGGTCAGATCATTAAGCCAGTCAGTAACAAGTTTCTTATATAAGGAACCCAGCAAATTGCATCGAGTCACTGACTAGTGTCAGCGTCTTCACAGCAATCCTCATACTAAGCAAGCATGCAGCGACAGTGGAGAGGAATGTGGGGATGACGTTAAGCACCCTAAACGCTGGTTTTAGAGGTATGGTGTCAATTAGTTTTTAGTTTGGGTTACGCATAGTGGAGTCACTCAAATCAATGGAAGTCATATAAATACGCACGCGCGCGTGTGTGTGTGTGTGTGTGTGTGTGTGTGTGTGTGTGTGTGTGTGTGTGTGTGTGTGTGTAGGTTATAGCCCCAGACATTTAGGGATTATGTTAAGCAACAGACGTCTTTAGGACTTTATCGGGAACATTAAAAGTCCTCTTTTGTCGGCGCTGTCATCTAGAAAGGAATGCTGCTAGTCCACCACGGCCGTGGTGCGTTCAGGGTCTTCACCCTCATGCATTTTACAACACAGATGCAGACTTGAAATGCACATAATTCCCTCTTTTGGATCGGAGCAGAACCAAAGAGGCTGATTGGAGGGTGGCAGCAACTACAGCCGGAGGGCGCATCCTCCTCCCAAATCACCGGGGTCTGGATCAGCCGTCAGCGCCACCATCATTATCCAAATCCCTCCCCACCATGTCTCCAGGAGATACGCGTCAATATTCTATCTTCTGTGTGCTGCTCAGCTCCTCCAGCAAAGACACAATCCTCCTAGAGGACATTACCTACTTCCAGAGAACCAAAGATACTACCTGGAACATTTCAGAAAAGGATCACTGCCCAAAATTTTGTAAGAGAAATGTTAGTAATGCTGCCAAAGGCTCATTAGGGTCACCAAGGTAACCATCACCATGGTGAAACCTAGCAGTTCATTAGAGTTACCGTGGTTACCACTCACTGTCTCACTGTTTCATTAGAAATAGACTCTCTTATATGAAGCTGTAATTTATGTTGCAGATGCTTCATTTAAGATTTTACCAAAATAAAGAATTTAATCTATCAACTGATTTAATTATTTACATTTCTTATAAACACACACACACACACACACACACACACACACACGTTCTCTGAGGGTTTTATTTCAGACAGGAGGAACGCTGAATTATTGATGCAGTTTCCTCAAACCGGAGGACTTCTCCACAGCGGGACGTGAAACAGAAGAAGCAATGTGACTTTCCAAACACCATCACTGTTGCATAATGGGAATTCAAATCCTCGTCTCGCTCTTAAATGTTCCAGCTTTTCCTGCAGTTGGGAATCATCACAATCTGATTTAATGAAGCTGTTAGTGATTGTTTTCTTTCTGGATCCTAATGAAACGTTCATCTGCTCCTCAATTCGCTGATTTAATGAAATTAGAAAAAATAAATGAGACTGTTCCTTTAAAATCACATTTTTCTGTAGTCTCCCTAAAACAGGTAAATAATCTCACCTGTGGAGAGTGACTCAGGTAAATAATCTCACCTGTGGAGACTCCAATAAATAATCTCACCTGTGGAGACTCTCAGGTAAATAATCTCATCTGTGGAGACTCCAATAAATAATCTCACCTGTGGAGACTCAGGTTAATAATCTCACCTGTGTAGACTCTCAGGTAAATAATCTCACCTGTGGAGACTCGGGTTAATAATCTCACTTGAGACTCAGGTAAATAATCTCACCTGTGGAGACTCTCAGGTAAATAATCTCACCTGTGGAGACTCTCAGGTAAATAATCTCACCTGTGGAGACTCTCAGGTAAATAATCTCACCTGTGGAGACTCTCAGGTAAATAATCTCACCTGTGGAGACTCTCAGGTAAATAATTTCACTGGTGGAGACTCAGGTAAATAATCTCACCTGTGGAATCTCATCTCTAAGACATTCTGAGGTGTTTTTTCCACAAACAGCTGCTGTTGCTGTAAACATCAGACCAGCTCCAGAACCAGACCAGACCAAACGATCATCGGGATGAAAAAGAACATTCTGCTGATGTTTCACCTTTTTAATATTTAATCATTCTTTGCTGCATCAAATAGCTCCATGCTCTTGGGTTTCATTTAAAGTTTGAGAAACAGATTTTTTGTAAATCTGTTTTATGTTTCTGCCATTTTTTCATGTAAAAGTTTTTCAGGTAGGAAACTTTTGAACAGAATTGAGGGAATGTGACAGGAGAAGCTCCTGCTAATTTGGGAATTGGCAGAAAATTCTGTTGGAAGCTACAAAACCAGCAGTAAAAATACGAACTGAACCTCCAGCTGATTTTAGAAACACAGGTTCACTCGGGATGACACAAACAGAACCGCTTCTGCACTGACGTGATGCAAAACGTTTAAAGAAATGTTCAGAATTCAACAACAGAAAATGTCTTTAAAATGCTCAGATTAACAGAATATTTATGCTGCAGTGTCGGCCGGCTTTTAGGTAGCTGTGCCA